CTGCCTCCCAAGTGCTGGGACTACAGGTGTGCGCCACCACGCCTGGCTCTTTTTGAGTTTTTTAAAAATTTTATTATTTTTGTTTTATGTGTATGAATGTATTGCCTGCATGTATGTGAGTGCACCCATTGTACAATGCCTTGGACACCAAAAGAGGACATCAGATTCTCCTGGAACTGGAGTTAAGAATGATTCTTAGCCATCGTGTGGGTGCTGGGAATCGAACCAGGGTCCTCTCCAAGAGCAATCAGTGCTCTCAACCACTGAGCCATCTCTCCAGCCCCAGTTTTTTTTTTTTTTTTTTTTTTTTTGGTCTTTTTGAGACAGGGTCTCCCTGTAGCCCTCCCTGGCCCAGAACTCGCTATGTAGATCAGGCTGGCCTTGAACTCACAGAAATCCTCCTGCCTCTGTCTCCCGAGTGCTGGGACCAAAGGCATGCGCCACCACATCCAGCCCCAGTTTTCAACTATGGCATTTGCTGGTGTTTTCTGTTGTGGTTTGTGTTTCTTGTGCCTTTTTAGACAAATACGTCTCTCTCCTGAGGTCATGGGACCAATCTCTGGTCTGTCCTTCTTAAAGTCTCTCCCTGCGTATTTAGGATGTTAATCTACCTGGAATTGATTTCATAGATAAGATCCAATTTCAGGGTTTTGTTTTGTTTTTTCCACTTGAATAGGCAGCTACTCTGGCTCTAGGTTTATTATTCTGCAACCACGACCTCTACAGAGGTCACCATTATACTTGAGTAGTTGACTTCCATGCTCTCTGGTCTGGTCCACTGGTTAGTCAATGTCCCCTTCTCCCAGGGACTGATATTTTGAAACGAGTCTTAGTTCTCGTTTTGCTCTGTGTATTGATACTTGGTAGAACAGGCCCCGCTCCACCGCCTCCTTCTCTCTCTGTATTTATTCCGGGTGTATGCATGCATGATGTATATGTGTGTGGGCACCACTTGTGTGGCAGAGGATAAACTTGTGAGTCAGTTTTCTCCTTCCACCTTTACATGGATTCCAGGGATCAACGTCAGGTCTCAAGACTTGTGCAGTAAGTTCCTTTACCCATTGAGCCATCTAGTAGTCATCTCTCCTCTCTCTCTCTCTCTCGCTCTCTCTCTCTCTCGCTCTCGCTCTCGCACTCTCGTTCTCTCTCGCTCTCTCTTGCTCTCTCTCTCCCTCCTCTGTGTGTGCACATGTGTGCCTGGTTTTTGTTTTGTTTTGTTTTGGTCTTTTTGAGACAGGGCCTCCCTGTAATCCCAGCTTGATTGGAACTCGCTATATGAACCAGGCTTGCCTCCATCTCACAGAGATCCTCCTGGCTCTGCCTCCCGAGAGCTGGGATTTAAGTTGCGCATCACCACTCCCAGTTTTCTTCTGTTTTTTTCTGAGATAGAGTTTTATGTGGTCTCAAACTCACTATGTGGCCAAGGATGAGCTTGAATTTCTTTTGTTTGTTTGTTTTTTGAAATAGGGTTTCACTATGTAACCTTGACTGACCTAGAACTTGCTATGCAGGACAGTCTGGCCTCAGATTCCCAAGATCCACCTACCTCTGCCTCCTCCCCTCCCGCCAAGGGCTGGGATTAAAGGCCCAGCTACTATGCCCAACTTGGCCTTGAATTTCTAATCCTCCTGCCTCTACCGCCTGAAAGCTGGACTATAGGAATGTGGCATCACACCCAGTTTGATGTGGTTCTGAGGATCAAATTCAAGGCTCTGTGCATGCTCGGCAAAACACTGTCAAGTGAGCTACATCCCCAGCCCCTTTATTCCTCCTCTTTGTCGTGGCTTCTATTATGGTTGGGATATGAAATGTCCCCCAAAAGTCTCTGTGTTGGGGACTTTGTCCCAGGAGGGTGGCTCTACCTTGGGAACTTCTAGGAACTTTAGGAAATAGAACTTAGCTGGAGGAAGTAGGTCACTGGGGGTAGGTCCTTAAGGTATCTTGTCCCTGGGCTCAATCTCTCTCTCTCTCTCTCAAACACACACACACACACACGCACACACACAAAACATCTCCTCCAGCACTCCCTCTGCCATGATGTTCTGCCCATGCCCATGGGACCAGGCAATTGGGGAGAGTGGAACTTCTGAAACGGTGAGCCAAAATAAATCCTCCTTCCTTTAATGTGTTTATGTTGGGTGCTTTGGTCACAGAAATATGAAAAACAGACAAATAATACTTACTGGCCCCTTGATTTCCTTTACAAACTACAGCGAGATTGTCATGGACCCTAAATATATTTTTGGAACTTTATTAGAACTGTATTTTAGCTGAGCATGGTGGCTCACGCCAGCAATCCTAGAACTTGGAAGACTGAGGCAGGAGGATCAGGAGTTCAAGGTAATCCTCAGCTACATAAAAAGTCCAAGGCCAGATTGGGCTACATGAAACTCTGACTCAAAATAACAATAACAACAACAAAACCTGCACTGAACAGTGAATGCATCTGTGCAGCTGTTACATTTACATAGCTAATATTTATACTTTCCTATGGGTTACCTCTTTCGCCACTCATTGCTCTGCCTTAGCCTCTAAGACTTTCCATTTGGAATATTTTCCCCCAAGGGGTGCATCTTGCCAGGTCCCTTGGTAAAGGTTTGCTGGTGGCCAGCACGCTCAGTGTTGGCTTGTTAGAAACCTCTGTCCTTGCTCTTTTTAAAATTTTATTTACTGTTTGTGTGTATATATGTATAAGCTGCGTGGGTGTATCAGGCCACAAATGGAAGTCAGAGGACACTGTCCAGGAGTTAGTTCTGTCTTTCCAAGATGTGAGCTTTGGAGTTTGGGCTCTAGAGATCAAATTCAGGTTGCAAGGCTTGGTTGCAAGCAACCTCACATGCTGAGCCATCTCACCAGCCCTGTCCTTGTTTTTGAACGATAGCCTTCCTGGATCTGCAATCCTAGACAGTTACTGGCCCTATTTTGTGTCTTCTGGGTAAAGTCATTGAACAATGAACTTTGTAGCAGTGCCCGTTTCTTTGTTGGGAATCCGTTTTTTCTATTCAGTCTTTGGCCATGTCCTCCTGCAGGACAGGTAAAGCTCTGTACTGACATTTCTTGAGATTTACTAAGCTTCTTGACTAGGACAATTCATATCTTCCATCAGTTCTGAAAACTCTTAACCTTCAATTTTTCATGGGGCCAGTGAGATGGCTCATCAGATAAGGGCCCTTGTCACCAAACCTGAGGACCCGAGTTCGATCTCTGGGACTGACATAGTGGAAGGAGCGAACCAACTCCTGCAAGTTGTCCTCTGACTTCTACACATGCACACGTATACAAAAATACACACAAATAAATAACAAATAGAAAAAAATTAATTTTGAATGTTTTTCTCTTATTGGTGTCCTGTGACTGCTATAATACATTTTCCAGAATCTTGGTGCCTAAAAACAATAGAAATTTATGACCTTATCATCTAGGAGGCTGAAGTCCTACCTAGCTCAGTATCACTGGGCTGAAATTAAGGTATCAGCAGGCTACGTTTCCCCTTGAGGAACTAGGAGAGAGTCCATCCTTGGATTCTTCAGGTGTCTGGTGGCTGCCAGGACTCCCTGGCTTGTGATCAGCATCATTCCAGTCTTCAAGGGCAGCATGTTTGGACCCTCATGGCTCTGTCTTCGTACTGTCTTACCTCCCTCTGCTTCCTTCTTACAACACAGAACACACATAACTGCCCTTGGTGCTGACTCATAAGGCAGGTCAGTTTCTTCCATCTACTATACAGACTTGATTTATTTTGTTTTGTTTGTTGGAGTCAGGGTCTCCTGTAGCCCAGGCTGGCCCTGAAATCCTGATCATTCCTACCATTGCCAAATGCTAGGATTGCAGAGGTGCGCCTCTGTGCCCAGCTACCTGACTTAATTACATCTACAAAAATCTCCTTCCTCCATTTTGCCACACAAGGCAACATTCGCAGGTTCCAGAGATTAGGGTGTCTTTGGGGAGGGAATTTATTAGCCCCACTCCTCCCATTTCCTCCTTTATTTCCATAGGGAACTCCAATGGGATGCCTGCCCTGTCCCCTCTCTATAATCACCTTTATCTCCGTGTTTAACCGCATCTCTCTCTGGTTCATTCTAATTCCCTCCGATCTGCACCCAGTTTCTCACCTATCTTTTCAGCTCCCACACTCTTTAATTGGTTTTTTGTTTGCTTGCTTGCTTGTTTTCTGTGACAGTGTCTCATGCAACCCGAGCTGGCCTCAAACTTGTAGCCAAGGATGACCTTGAACTCCTGATCTTCCTGTCTCTGCTTCCCAAGTGCTGCTTTGCACCACCAGGACCAGCTTTAATCATTGATTTCTTCCTCCTCCTTCTCCTCCTCCTCCTCCTCTTCTTCTTCTTTTTAATATTTTATTATTTTTATTTTATGTGGGTTGCCTGCATGTATGTGAGTGCACCCGTCTCATGCAATGCTGCGGAGGTCAGAACAGGGCTTCAGATTCCCCTGGAACTGGAGTTAAGGACGGTTTGTAGCCACCATGTGGGTGCTGGGAATCAAACCTGGGTCCTCTGCAAGAGCAGTCAGTGCTCTTAACCGCTAAGCCATCTCTCTAGCCCCTAATCATTGATTTTTAAATTCCAATTTATATATTTTTCATTCCTGGAAGTTCAGGTCACAGTCACTTCATAGTTAGTTTCTTGCTCTGTGTTGAGTTTGCTTTGTTGACTTAATTCTTTAAATTGGGAATAACATACTACTCTTTGGTAAAATTTTACTATGGAAATAGAGAAATGAGCCACCAGGGGTGGAAGGTTGGGAAGAAGAATGTAGCTGAGGTTTTTAAGGTAGAGTTGCATAGGGATGACAGAGTAGCATCCCTCTGATCAGAAGCCGTCCAACTCCCAGGGGTTGGACCAGCCTTGGCTAAGAGCAGAGTCCAGAGTCTACTCATGATGGGGGTGGGGGGGCAGGAGAGTGAGGGGGGCACTATGGTAACACAGAATGGGGATAAGGAGATGGGTGGATGTGGGCTGTCTTCTGGCTGCTTTTGCCTTCTCAGAAAGTAAAAGAAAGGCAGGCCCTTAGCTGAGGAGGAGGGGAAGGAGGCTCCGGGCGGTGAGGGGAAAGGTGTACCCCATTACTTAGGCGTGTGGATGACTTGCCTGGCTGTCCTAAGGCACAAAGGAGACTTCAAGGTTGAGGGTCAGGAGGGGTACACCAGTGTGGTTGTTTGACCAGCCCCTTCCCAGCTTGCTCCCACTGCCCCAAACTCTGTGAAAGACATTCCCTATCTTCCAGGACTCTAGTTCTCAGGGCCCCCGGTCCTGCTCTTTCAACCCCCACATCCCAGAATGCCTTGCCCCCCCTCTCCCATGGATTCTTTTGCTCCCTTGGCTTGAACTACCCTGAACCCCCACACTGAGCTTCCCTCAAGGTGTGTTTCACTTCCGTTCCCCACTCTGCTCTCACCTGTCACACCTCTACATAATGTCAGGGCCCTCACTCACTTCCGGTTCTTCCTCCTGCAGATGTGTGGGCTCATCAGGTGTGTGCCTTGTCCTGTCTGTGTCCCAGGGTTGTTCCTCAAGCAGATGCAGAGACAGTGTCCTTTGAGAGAACTAATGAATGACTTCTAGAGAGCTGGGTCAGGCCACCACAGGGTGTTACCCAGAGGGCCAATCATGGTGTTACCCAGAGGGCCAATCATGGTGCCACTGGCCTGTGGGAAGAGACAGGAGCACAGCCAGGAAGCCAGCCAAGGTCTGGGGTCAGGAGAAAGCAGGTCATGTTCCCAGAGGGAGAACAGGGACTTTTGGGGATGGTGCACCCAGCCCAGGCTGCATGTCTGAGGAGTGCCAGCACCAGACAGGGTGATCCTGTGCTACAACCCAGGCCTACATGCAGGGGTGGTTGGTGGTTGGCACAGCTTATGGGAGAGGGACACAGGCTGTTTTCAAAGTGTTTCTCATGGGGAATTGTCTGGGAATCCCAGACCTCTGCCTTGGTTTTGTTTTCTGTTGCTGTAATGCAATACTGTGTCAAAAGCAACTTGGGGGAGAAAAGGTTTATTTCAGGTTCCAGGTCACAGTCCATCATGGAGGGGAAGTCGAGGCAGAAACTTGAAGCAGCTGGTCACATCCACAATTGAGAGCAGAAGCGAAGGCGTGTGTGTGTGCATGGGTGCGTGCGTGCGTGCATTTGGCTCCTTTTGCCCCCCTCCTTTTAAAAATATTTTATTTATTATTTTTATTTTATGTGTATGAGTGTATTGCCTGCATGTGGGTAGGTGCACCCATGTCATGCAATGCCCACTGAGATCAGAAAGAGGGCGTTGTTGTATCCTTTGGAACTGGAGTTACGGACGGTTGTCAGTCACCATGTGGGTGCTGGGAATCAAACCTGGGTCCTCTACAAGAGCATCCAGTGCTCTTAGACGCTGAGCATCTCTCCAGCCCTCCTTTTGCTGTTTTATATAGTCTAGGACCCAAGCCCAGGGAATGGTGCTGTCCATTATTAGGCTGGATCTTCCTGTATCAATTGACATAATCAAGATAATCCCCCCACAAACAGGCTCCCCAAAATCAGCTGTGATAAAAGCAGGTTGGAGCTGTGGGATCCCAGGCAGTTCTCACCCAAGGGCCTAAGCCTGGGCCTGTTGTCTATTGAAAAGGGACAGAAAGGTGTTGAGGATATATGAGAATCACCAGGAGATGCTCTCCTTGTCAAATGTAGGGAAAATACACAGAGGGTGTGAACAAGGGGCGTCTCGATGTGGAAATCAGCATTATTTAATGTTGTACCTGTACGGCCTAAGATCCTTGCAGTCCCCAATGGCCTCAGCATGGATGTGATGGCCTGAGCTGTCCGGTGCTGCACCGGCAGTGTCTGCTGGTGACAGCTGCATTCTGAGTTCTAAACAAGATATTGGAGTGTGTCTGACCAGCCTCAGGACGCCCATCAACTTCTGCTGCATGCCTCTAGATTGCTTAGTGACAAGCTCACACCAGTGCAGACCCCTGAGTTAATAAAATCCTAAGCATAGTCGGGCAGATGGCTCAGTGGGCAAAGTGCTTGTTGCTTATGAGTGAGGACCTGAGTTCAGATCCCCAGAACACACATGAGGCCCCGATGTGCATCTGTAACCCAGTGTTCCTATGACTAGCTTCGAGGTGAAGGCAGGAGCATCTCTGGAATCAAACCTGGGTCCTCTACAAGGCTAGCTAGCCTGGCGCGTGCAACAGAGAGCAAGAGACTCTGGCTCAAACAAGGTAGAAGGTGATAACCAAAACTTAAGGTTGTTCTCTGTCCTCTACATGAGCACCTACACTTATGCACAGGCATATGTACACACACACACACACACACACACACACATACATACATACACACAATTTTTCTAAAAGATTGTTTTTATTTTGCATGTATGGGTGTATTGTCTGCATGTGTGTAAGTACACCTGTGTTGTACAATGTCCTCGGAGGTCAGAAGAGAGCGTTGGATTCTCCCGGAATTGAAGTTATGAACAGTTGTTAGCCCCCATGTGGGTGCAGGGAATTGAACCCAGGTCTGCAAGAGCAGCCAGTGCTCTTAACCACTGAGCCATTTCTCCAGGCTCTTTTTTTTTTTTTTTTTTTTGAGACAGAGTCTACCTAAACCCCCAGCTGGCCTGGAACACACTATGTAGATCATAGATCAGATCAGGCTGGCCCCAATCTCACAGAGATCTATCTGACTCTGCCTCCTGAATGCTGGGATTAAAGGCATGTGCCATCACACCCAGCTTGTTATTTATTTATTTATTTTTGGATACCAGATCATGTGGGGACACCAGTTTGCTTTCGTTTCTCAAGACAGGCTGGCTGGGAGGATCTCACTACAAAACTACTACCAAGCTGAGGATGACCTTGAACTCCTGCAGTTTCTGCCTCTATTTCCTAAGTGCTGAGATCACCGGTGTTCACCATCACACTCCACGTTCCTCGCCATTTCTTCCACCTCTCAACACAACTGAGCACCCAACAATTCCAATTAGAGCTGGTGCAGACCTCACAGGTTGCCGACTGGACACATGCCAGTCACAGGCTCCTGGTACTTCTCTCCCACTAGCTGTAAATCAGGTTTAATCATTCACTAGGATGACCCAAAGAACTCAGGAAGATACTTTACTTACGTTTACCGGTTTATTATAAAGGATACAACTCAAGACCTGCTGGTGGAAGAGACCCAGGGCGAGGCTTGGGGGTTGGGATGGTGCACAGCTTCTAGGTATGGGTGTGGACAGCTAGCTCCATGATCATCAACCTTAGAAGTTCTCTGAAGTCCATCACTCAGGTGTATGTGTGTGTGTGTGTGTGTGTGTGTGTGTGTGTGTGTGCATGTGTGTGTGTAGAAATGCCATAATATGTGTGTAGAGATCGGAGGACAACCTTGGGTGTGATCTGTACCTTCCACTTCATTGGAAGCAGGGTCTCTGTTACTGCATACTCCAGGCTAGATGACCTGTGAGATTCTGGGAATTTTCCCATCCACCTCCCATCTCACTATAGGACCACTGGATTGCAGCAGATGTGTGCTATTGCACCCAGATTTTACATGGGTTCTGGGAATTTGAACTCAGGTCCTCACACTTTCATAGCAAATTGAATTTGAGAGCTACTTTATCCTCAGCACCCCCCCCTTGTGCATGGCTGGGAGGTGGGGTGAGGACAGGTGGTAGGGACTGTGGTGACAGGAGTTCAAGTCCTAAGGCTGCTATGACCACCTCCAGAGCCCTGGGGAAATGACAGGAACTAGTTGAGCCTGTGTTTCCTCAGATGCTCAATGGGTGTCATACCCACTTCCCAGGGCTGTCATGACATTGGAATGTACAGAATGGAGGTACATAGTAGGTGCCCAGTTAATGTTTAAGTCAGCGTCCCCAAAGCCACGCCTTGGTGTCCTGGGCTGTGGTACTCACTTCACTTGTCTGCTGCCTCTTGGTCTATGTGCCAGAGGTGACCTGGTGACCTAGGAGTTTAGGGACCTGAGGTTGGAGCATTCTTGAAGTCATCTTCAGAGCTCACACAGGGCCCAGTGCCTTTCCTGTACTTATATCCCATAAGTGAGGTTTACTGGAAAGTAGAAACAGCTCTTCCATTTTGTCGTGTTGTGGCGTGCTGGCCTCTGAGCACAGCAGTTATGACCATGTTGACGAAACAGCTGTGACTACCTGCCAGAGACTTCCAATCAGATTAGCATGTTGACAGGTCCTCATAGAAAGAGGGGGCACGGACAGTCATCAGACCCTCACCTGAGATTACAGCTGTTCCCTCCTGCAGCCCCCCTTGCACCTGCATGTCCTACTGCCCCACTGCATGTAGTCTTAGGAAATGCTAGACCAGTGTACAAGAGGTGAAAGGCTAACCAAAGGGAAGGCTCCACCCATGTTGGGGTAGGACTCTTTGGTGATGCAGCTGTTTGAGGGTCACTCGTGCTCCTGTTAGTAAGCCCAATAAGGAGCCAGAGAGATGGCTCAGCGGTTAAGAGCACTAGCTGCTCTTGCAGAGGACCCAGGTTCAGTTCCCAGCACCACATGACAGCTCACTATTGTTCATAACTCCACTTCCAGGAGATCTGATGCAGTCATCTGGCCTCTGAGGACTTTGTACACATGGTCACACATACAAAACACTCATACACAAAAAATTTTTTAAATTTAAAAAATAAATCTTTTTTTTTTAAGTAAGCCCAATAAATTCATTGGTTCACCAAGCTGAACTTGGGTGGACTTGTTTCTTTGATCTGTCTTGATGTTTTACCTGGGGTGACGTTTGTTCACTTCTCCCTGGGAAAAATAACACAACACCTTTTGAAAGTAAGATGTGCTTATTATAAAATGAGGTGAGAATTTTACCCATCTCTACTGAATGGCTGTTAGGAGGCTGGTAGAGTGCATACCATTTGCTTGCCGCAAAGTGTTCCTCCCTCGCAATTAATATTATATTGGATGTTTGTTTTTTTTTTTTAAACAGAGTTCCATTTCATAGCCTAAGTTGGCCTCAACTCCTGCCTCAATTTCCTGAGTGCTGGGATTACAGGACTATACTACCATATTTAGCTGCCATATAATAATAATAATAATAATAATAATAATAAAATTATATATTATATTATATATTTATTATTATTGTTGAGGTGCCAAGGACCAAACCAGGGCCTTGAGTATGCTAGGCAAATGCTGTACTGCTGAGCTATAACCCCAATCCTCATTATCATTATTAGTTCAGAAAACACATAAAGGGATTTTAAAAACTTAAAATAATTTGCTGAGTTTGGATTGCCTTAGACTTTCCCAGATTTATCCATTTGGGCAGCCCCGCAGTTGCGAAACAAGCATGCTTTTCGAAATGGACTATTGCATGTAGTGTTTGGCTGTTGGAACCTTACAACCCTGAGCATGCTAGGCAAATGCTCTACCATTGAGTGGCACCCAACCCCACTCTTTTATACTGTGCCTTTTCACTTTAGCCGGAGACAGAGAACGTCTCTCCATTATATGGTGTAGGCAGGATGCCCCTCTGGACTGGCCCAAGCATGGCATCTCAGGTGTGGGCCAAGGCCTACGT